TTTTGCAAACTTTTAAATAGCCTTAATTGCACTTTATGCCTTAAAACATTTGTTTTTGTGAATTTTGTCTCCAATTTTTTCTTCTTCTCACAAACTATGTTCTAAAATCATTAGATTTTGACAAATTTGTGCCCTTCCATCAATTTCCTATCAAAATACTTATAAAGTTCTAACATGACATGTATGTGGTGGATAAACTTTATGATATGGCATTTTTAATGGATATTTAATTGCACTTTGGTCCTCAAACTTTTGCTTTTCGGAGATTTTTGTCCCTAAGTAATTTTTTCTCGTGATTTATGCCTCCAAACTTTTAGATTTTGACAATTTATGTTCTCTCATTAGTTTTCGGACAAAATGCAAAGTAGTTGTTCATCATTTGTGCCATTGTAATGACTCCAAATGTAGAATAAAAATGCCTTAATGAAACTTTTATGGACAATTATATGAGATATTTATAGGAAAGAGTTTTATCTTTGTTCTAATGTTATGTAAAATGATGGTTTAACTTCATATAATTATGACATTTTTTAAATACCTTGTAATTTTTATTTAGACCTTTTCTTATAATAAGGTTTGTTGTAAGGTCAAATATCTTTGTAGCTAGTAAGCTTTTTTACTTATTTAACTAATTATGACTTTATATTTGTTTGATTATTTGAACTAAAGTTTAGCTAAAATTATTGATCTCACTAGATCCATCTTATAAAAATAAAATTAATATTTGTAAATTGTAATTATCTGGCTAACACTTTTAAATAATTAGTGCAATAATTTGTTGCTATTATTTTAATTAATACATAATCTTGTATATCTCACATTAATTTAAAGTATTATAATTAACATATACATAAATGCCTAATCATCAGTTCTCACATTTATGAAAATATATATATTTTGTGTAGATTAGCATTTAAATTTAATTGAATCAAATAGATTTAAATTTAAGATATAAAAAATTAAAATAAACTTTAAAACAAAAAACTAAAACAAATTTTAAAAAGTAAGATAAAGAAATAAAAAATATAATTTATAACATATTATATATATATATATATATAATATGCATGTTATAAAATGAAAGAAAAAAAAAGTATTAACTGCTTGTCTTCCCGCTGGGCAGAGAACTTATCGTTGTCTGGTCTCCCGGAAGCTGTGGGAGAAAATATATTTATTATGTTGAATTTGGGTAGACTATAGTATATAATAAAAGCAAAACATTAGGGTGAACCCTTCTTTAATATAAAAAATTTATTGTGTATATGATATATGTAAGTTTTAGTAATTTTGTGCTGACTTTAAATTTCTGTCATTACTGTTGTAGCCTAATTGAGAGGATTGTTGCGTAGTGTGACACTTGACATTTGAGTTTTGTTCGTGTATAAACGGAAAGAAAGAGGTTTGGCATGCATTGCGCGACAACCAAAAAAAGCAAAAACATAAACGAGTTTCTGTTCCTATCCTTTCGCCGCCCGACCGTTTCTGACCTTATCAGCTCAGGTTAAACACGACAACCCTCGATCTCATTCATCTCATTCATTAATCTTCGATTGACATCCCATGCTGTTTTCATGCATCTCAACCTTTAAATAAAATCTTACTTATACAAAATATTGATGAAAAAATATAATCAATGGTTCACAATTATACTGCATTCCCTACTACGTTATGTTTTCAACTTCCCAGATTTTAATCTTTGTGATATGTTAGGCTTTTTGACGTATGTGGGGTCGTTGACCAACTTATTTATGTAAATGGGGCTCTTTTGAAAGTATTTACATTTTTGGAGTTGTTTACAACGGTGTTGCTATGGGTCATAGCGACACTCATGCCACGTGGCAATTTTTTTTTTTTGCCCAGAATGGGCTGGACTGAGCCATAACAGTGTTGCTATGGGCTGGGTCAACACAGTTGATGGGCCAACAAAAATGATGTAGCCTATAGCGACACCATTTAAGAAAAAAAATGAAAAAAACTAAAATAATTTAAATGTACCCTAAAAATAATAAACTGTGTTTACTTATTATATATTTATAAAAATAAAATTTAATTTTTAAAAAACATAATTTTAAAAAATGTATTTAATTATTTAGCTAAGTGGTGCTATGGCCTATAGCGACATATAGCGCCACTATTTTATTTGTTTTTTTTTTAATTATTAACTTATTTTGTTTTAAAATTTGTTTATTTTATATTAGCAGCTAAATATGAATTTGTAATTATAAAGTTATTTATTCTGCAATTTATTTTGTTTTCTATATATATTTTTTCCTTTAAATTATTTTCTGACGAATTAAAAAATTAATTTAATTATTTATCTAAGTGGCGCTATGGCCTATAGCGACACTGTGTCGCTATGGCCCATAGCGACAATATCAATATATATACCCCCTCCTAGCTACGGTTTTTTCGCAGTTGAAATCATATATTTATCAGTTACGTTTTGGTCTGATTTAAATTTCTGAGCCAGTTACGTTTCTTTCTGATTCGGTGAGTATAATTTTGTTTTTGTTAAGATATAAATTGTAGCTATTTGCACTAATTAATTTTTTTTGTTGCAGATATTATGGATCAAATGATTGCTTATATTTACACTGGAAAGATGTATGAAGGTGCTGAAGGTGTAACATTTGATGGACCAAGAAAAGGAATGTATATTAAACGAGGTATCACTTTGGATATATTAAAGAGAAGGATTCACAACAAATTTAGTCTTAACTCAAATCAAGTGATATTATCTGTAAGTTACAGATTTTTAGTTTCACAAGGTGATAACAACATATATTCTTCATTGGAATTGAGTGACGATGATGATGTACAATGCATGATAGAAGCATTTCAGAGCCAGAATGTGATGTCAATAATGGAATTATATGCTGAAATAGGTATGCAATAATCTTCTACTTTTTCATTTGAAAATTTGTCAATTGAACATCACTTTTGATCACAAGAGACGAAGATGAAGATGACGAAGAAGATGAAGACTATCATGTTTCATCATCATATGAAAGCATTGATGAATCCAATGAAGATGAAATTGATAATTGTGAACCATCTGATGATAAGGTGAAGCCGGATGTTCTTGTTAATAGTCCAATGGTTGAACCAATTTCGATTCACACCTATCCATGTTGTTGCGGGTTGCATCAATTGTCCTGTGGCGGAGGCTAGGTGGGCCAAGTCACTGTCGAATCATGGCGCTTGGGCTGCTGCGCTCTTAAGTAAAAAAAGTTGTGCCCTGACTATCAGCTATAGCTTTTGGCCTAGTGGTAAGCGCTCGATCCAACACATGTGTGATTCTCATACAAGATATGATCGTCGCAGTTCAAACTGCATGGGAACACGTAAAGATAAGTTATAATTAAAAGAAAACAATATATACACATCACAAAGTATAAACAACATAGTACATCATCACATCTTAGAATAATAACATCAACATCATAACACATTCAACACTATCAACATGTACATCAACAATTAACCATCACTATCAACATGAATAACTCAGTCTATTACAACATAATATCATCTTGAACACTAGCACACCAACAACTCAAAATTTTCAACACAACAACTACATGCATCATCACGCATTTGAACTAAAAGATATCCTGTAACATATGGTAAATAATTTAAGTGACTTGACCCTACCAAACTAATAACATAAGGTATTTTTTTGATTTGCTAGATCAACAATAAATTGGATATCGATCCACAACACAATTATTGATCAAGCCTAAGATGAAGACATGGTCTTCGTTGATTTTGATTATTACAAATAAACTTGAAAGATAAGAGTGCAACTTGTAATTTTTGTTTTGTGGTTTAAGTCTCTTGAAAGAAAAGAGTGCAAGTTGTATATTGTTTGTGTGTTTAAAGTTTTGTTACTTATATACTTTGTGATTGATAAGTAACTTAGCCTTTTACCTCCATGTAAATGGTGATTGATGAAGAAAATAAGTTTTAAAATTGATTAGTACAGATAAATGGTATGAAAATTGAGATATTGAGTTTTCACTTAAAATAAGCGATTATCTTAAGTAATAATCGATTATTTACTATATTTTTTTAATAATTTGAGAAATGGTTATTGTAATAATCGATTATTCAATAAAATAATTGATTATTCCAAAAACTAATTTTTGGAATAATTAATTATTTTTCAAAATAATCAATTAATTTGTCATTGATTAGTTTTCAAATTTGCTAAAAGTAAAATATTAAATTATCCATGTAAATAATTGAGTATTTATGTCAGAAAATTCATATATATAATTTTCACACTTAGAATAGAAAGACCTAAATCTTTGTGATATATTTTTTGAAAATACTATTTGAGAAACATTTTTTTTTGTAACAATGAGTTTTGTAACTTTTGTAATAACTTCAAGAAAAGATTTAAATATTAGAATTGATCATCATATTCATGGAGTGAAAGGATGAGCTATTTTGGTTGATTAACCTATTATAAAATCGTAAAATCATTTTATAAATTATTTAAATTAATAAAATAAAATATTAAATAATTTTTAATTTTTTTTTAAAATTTGTAAACTTGATTTATATATTAAAGATTTTAAATTTAATAGTTAAATCTTAAAAATTAATATAGAACATAAATTATTAAAAAAAAATAAGTTTATGTATACTCATTGATAGAGTAAAAAGATTCTTTTATATATATATATATATATATATATTTTGACGAACATTGAATCAACAAGATTTTATAAAACTCAACAGAGAAACCATGAACACAAAATATACGGCACTAATAGGATAAATAGAGTGATGTAATCTATACTAATAGAGGATTACGTGTCACAATTTTTATACTTATTTTATTCTTAATAACTTAATTTTTTTATATGTAAAAAATTGATATAAATATTAAAATAGTAGAAAATATTATTTTTTCTATTTTATTTTATACAAGACGGTGAGTGTCTTTTTCTCTAGCAATATAAAATAAAATAAAAATAACGTGTCACCGTTTGCTCCCATCTAGTGTATTTGGGAGACATGAATGCAGAGCAAAACTGAAAGGAAGGGAAAGGAAAGCCCTCTTATTCTCGTTCATCTTCATCTGCTACTGAACACTTCGAACTGTGTGCATCGCGTTTCATCTCAATGAACGCTATTCCGACTCTCCAATTTTTCTGCGGAGAGATACAATAAACTCAAACAAACCTAATCGCGAATGGCGGTTTCCGAAGAAGAATGCTCTTCCGCCAAGTCAGGTCCGTCTTCGTCTTCCTCCGCCTCGCGCTGCTACCTCTCCAAGTGCGTTCTCAGAGGCAGCGTCGTTCTTCAGGTTCTCCACGCTAACATCCGTTCTCCCTCCTCCAACGACGTCGTTTTCGGCAAGGTGAGGTTCTTCTCTGCTATTTGCCTCGACGCAAATCTCACTAACTTATTCTGTATCAGTGTTACTGCTGCCGCGTGCTGTAGGACTTTACTTTGGCGTAATTAACTTCGTTTAACTGAACTAAGCTGTGTGCTGTGCTTATTATCACTTGCTCCTGTTATTTTGATTAGGATTAGGATTATGAGAGCTTGTTATGTAATGTTGCTTCTGTTTGTTTGTGGTTTCAGGAAACATCCATTGAATTGGTGGTTATTGATGAGGATGGGAATGTGCGATCTGTGTGTGATCAGCCTGTCTTTGGCACCATCAAAGATCTTGCCATATTGCCCTGGAATGACAAATTTCGCGCGCGTGATCCACAGGTGTGTTACTCATTTCCCTACTCTGGCTAAGGAAATCACTGTCTCTGCCTGTGTTGATTTGAATGAAATTTGTTGTTGTGAATGTTATGTGAGTGCATATATATATATTTTTTTTATTGTCAAGGTTGGGTTTTATTTAGTCCTTTTTTATTGTTTGCAGCTGTGGGGCAAAGACCTTTTGGTTGCTACATCTGATTCTGGGAAGCTGTCGTTGCTCACATTTTGCAATGAAATGCACAGGTTCGTTCACCTTGTCTTTGTCTTTTCTCCTTTTTGTTGTATCGGTACAAGGTATTAATGAGCATTAATGCATGGTTAGAACATGAAAAGCGAACCACCTTTTATGAAAAAATAATTAATTTGTATGAACCTTTCTTTTTCTTTTATGCATCTTTGTAGGTTTGTTCCTGTAACACATATTCAGCTATCTAATCCTGGAAACACATTGGATCTTCCTGGAAGAAAGCTAACAGTTCATTCCAGGTGATGTATTTTCGGGTCACAAATTCTTGAAAAGCATTTATTTTGTCTTTCCTGTTATCTCAGTTTTGTGTTCTGGTTGGTCCCATTCTGCAAGCATGTACTAGTTGCTTCACATATTAGAAATAATAGGGAAGCCCCCATAATTGTTCTACATGAACTTCTAGGCCAACTGCAAGCGCTACTTTGGTTGATAATAAACAGGTAATATGGCTAATAAGATCTCCAAATACTCTCCAGATTTTAAAATCTACTTTTATAATCACATTCAGATACTTTTTAAAGTGTTTGGGCCACCTGAGTGTAATGGCCCATTTCAGGTAGGGGAACCCAACTCAAAACTTTCCCTTCTTTCTGTTGGTCTTGTCCCTGATTGAAATCAATGCCCCTTCCTTTAAGTATTACTATTTCTATCAGTTAGTGTCTATAAATTGATTTTTATAGTTAGTTAATTTTTATAGTTAGTCTCTGTCATCTATAAATTGATGATTTCTATCAGTTGTAACTGACTTTGACAGAATCAATTACACAGTTTATTTTCAGTTACATGATCAATCTGATGTCCCTTCCTCTAAGTACTACTATTTATATTCTATCCTCCTATCTAACAAAACTCCTTCCTGTTATTTATTCTGTTACAATTCATGGGGTTTTAATTCCCTGTTGTACCCCTCTTCCTTCTAACATAAACCTTCTCAATGGGAGATTTCTTAATAGGATTTTAGGTTAGAGAGAGAGAGAGAGAGAGGAATTCTGTATGTAAAGTATATTTTTTATTCTGAGTATGAAATACAATTAGCCTAGTATATATATATAGGCAGCAGGTCCAACTAACATAAAACAGAATCTGTAACTAACTTCTAACAAAAAAAGGAAGAAAGATACAGTGCAGCAGGCCTCATAGAAGGAGCCTGTACCTACCTGTCGAATCATGGCGCTTGGGCTGCTGCGCTCTTAAGTAAAAAAAGTTGTGCCCTGACTATCAGCTATAGCTTTTGGCCTAGTGGTAAGCGCTCGATCCAACACATGTGTGATTCTCATACAAGATATGATCGTCGCAGTTCAAACTGCATGGGAACACGTAAAGATAAGCTTCTTTATTTATTATATTTTTTGAAATTTTGTTTTTTAAATTTCAAATATGGGGCGCTATGGGCTATAGCGACTTCATTCAAGCTATTAGTGTCGTTATGGGCTGCACCAACTTCGTCAATATGACTTTCATGGCTTCCCTGGAGTTACAATAATGCCACGTGGCACGGGTGTCGTTATGGCCCATAGCGACACCGTTGTAAACAGCCCCAAAGGCGTAAATACTTTCAAAAGAACCTCATTTACGTAAATAAGTTTCTAAAGGGCCCTACTTTGATAAAAAAGCCTGATATGTTATCACCAAACGCACTTTTTTCATCGTCATTATTCTTTTCTTTCTTTCATGTCTATTGTTAGCGTTAGAATAATGTACTACTATAAAGATATTTATTCATTTTTATACAATTGATAAAATAATAATAATATTAAATTTTTAATTTAAAATAAATCAAAATCATCAATTTAAAATTAATTTATGTGATTAATAAGACATCATACTTAAACTAATCCTTTTTAATTACTATTTTAAGAAAATAACAATAATTCAAATTCAAAAATAAAAATGAATTCTAATATCTTAACTAAAGTATCAACTTCAAACATTATGGTAAAAAAAAAAAAGGTTAGAAGAGAATATCATGATAAAAGTGATTATTTATTAGTTATATTTTTCAATACATGTCATTCATCAATAAAGTTAATAAATATTTAACATTAATAATAAATGATAGTTTTTTTTTTTAAAGGAAGGTCTTCAAAAATCCCAATTTTCTTAAAATGATATGCGATATTTGTGTAGTTGAAATGGTAATGAACATTGATATGCTATACTTTGATGAATTGTTAAGCATTGGTATGCTATTCTTGGTTGAGGTGTTAAACATTCATATGTTATTCTTGGTTGAAGTGTTAAACAATATTGATATATTATACGTGATTGATGTGATTTGATTTCTATATGTATTAACATAGAGTAATATATATAAAAGATGTATGTTGAAGTGTTAATACTAAATATGTTACAAATATTAAAATATATTAATTAACTTAAAACTAGAAGAGAAACTATTGTTTTGAAAGTGAATATCTCATATAAGTGCTCATTTTTTTTTACTCTAATGGTGATCTTATTTGCTCATTACAAAATTATCTTTCGTGAAATATACACACATGTTCGTCCAATACAAAATTATGTTAACAATAAATATAAAAAAGAGTGAAATAATTCCCGAAATCAAATCTAATGAATTTTTGTTATTTTTTCTAATAAAATATTTAACTTGATTAAACTAATCATTTATAAAGCCCTTATATATTAAATACGAAATAATATCTAGCATGAAAATATTTTTAGAGACTTTTCTTAAATAACAAAACTTTTAGAGACTATTATAACTTTTTATTTAATTTAATTTTTATTTATCATAATTATTTATAAATTTAAATTTTAATATTTAAAAATAAATTATCAAAAAAAAATCTGTTATAATATAAATCATTTATCATAAATATAAAATATAATTTATATGTTTAAAAATATTTATTTATTTATTTTAAGTATAATTTATATATTTAAACATAAATTTTATTCATATATATATATATATATACATATAATTTATTATAAATTTTAGTCATATATAAAAAATATTTAATCAGTTCATTTTAAATATTGAAATATTAATTATTATATTAATCTTGAACTATTTTATATGCAACAAGATTCGAGCCTAGTATCATAGTAGCATAAAATATGCTCCAATATGGTTAGTAAAGGAGAGAAGGATTATGATATATACACCTCCTTATTTTATAAGTACATCTCTTATTTAAAAATAATAATTAAATTCTTAAATTGTTTTTAATTTTTATTTTTTTTAATTTCACACTCTTAACATTTGATTTAATATTTTTTTTACATTCCCTTATTTTTACATGCACCTCTTTAATTTTTTTTCACCCCCACCTATTTTGGTAGGTAACTTTAATTATTTTAGTTTTACATTATTTTTTTCCTTTCTCTTTCAGTTTTCTCATTGATTTCACTATACGCATAGTACTCTAGAATAGTAAAAATGTTTTTTTTATAGCACTAAACTTAATGTTAAAGTTTTTGGAGGGGTGAAAGGAAAGGAAGTGTTAGAAGAAAAAATGTGTGTTTAGTTTTATAGAAACTGTCGAGGAAGCTATATGTACCTACAATGTTGTCGCCTACCAATTCTATAATTTGGGTGTATGTGAAAAAGTGAAAGAGATGAGAAAATAAGAGAATAATATAAAAATCGAGAGAACTAAAACTACTCATTGAAATAGGTGAAAAATTAGAGAAAGATAAAATGATGCATGTGAAAATTGAAAAAAAGGAAGGAAGGAGGTGTGTGAAAAGAAAAAATAGTAAATTAAAAGTTAAAGATGTAAAATTAAAAATTTAAAAAATAAAAAATTTATGAATATTTTATAAATTTTTTTTAAAAAATAAAGGTGGTGTACTTATAAAAAAAAGGAAGTGTATATATCATTACCCAGCAGAGAATAGGCCTTAGCTCCATGTGTTGCTGTTGCAAGAATAGAATGGGCCGAGCCCATAATCTATGTAATTCAGGTAAGAAAAGAAAACGAGAGGACAGATTGGTATCAGAAGTAGATCCAAGGCGCAGACGCTGGATCAAATTTATATGGCATATGATATATACACCTCCATTTTTTTTACAAGTACACCTCCTTTCTTTTTTTAAAAAAAATTATAAAATATTGTAATTTTTTTTAATTTGTCTAATTTTACACCTTCAACTTTTAATTTACTACTTTCTTTTTTTCATACACTTTTTGTTCTCTTTCAATTTTCACATATTAACAAAATAGGTAGGATAAAAGAAAGGTAAGGAGGTACATGTAAAAATTGAAAAAAAAAAAAAAGAAGGGAAAATGTGTGAAAAAAGGTACTAAATAAAATGTTGTAGGTGTAAAATTAAAAAAAATTAATTTTTTTAAAAATTTAATTATTTTTTTAAAAGAGGTGTACTTATAAAAAAAGGAAGTGTATATATCATCAACCAATTTATATTGTGGAGTAAAATGGTCGTTGGGTCAGAGTGGCCCAATATAAATTGATTTTTTTTTGTAAGTATACAAGGAAAACTATATAAATAAAAAAAAGAAGAAGAAGATAGTGGATAAAGTCGAGTGTGCACAATGTATAACAATTGAAAAACTGAAGAATTAAATTTGCTATTAAAAACAAAATTGGAAGACAAAAATGCTAATTATAGACTTAAAAATTCTATAAAGAAACACAAACTTAAATATATATTAAGTCCTTGGAAACAAGATTGTATTTTATTTTAGTCTTTGTAACTTTTTCTCATTTTTATTTTTTAGATTTTTTATACTTTCTTACTATTCATTTTTTTAATTCTTATTATTAACTCTAATTAGTTCTTAAGATGACTAACAAAATGGAAATATTAACTAACATAATTGAGGTATCACAGCATTTTAAATTAGGATAATTATATTATTTTTAAGTGAATAATTTAATTAACTAATTTATTTATTATTTTATATAAATAAAATAATTACATATAATTTAATTATATATATATATATATATTATTTTTAATATCTTATAAGCAATGATTTTTATGCTTATACTATTCTTATTTTTTAATCCACTAATTTACATTTTAGTATATTGTACTTGTTTTAAAAAAAATACTTGGATGTTATAATTTAATTGTAACATATTACTCAGTGTTTCTACACTGAGTAATATCTATTGTGACCGATATTCATTACTCATTTTAATCAGTAAAACAATATTTCCTGCAGTTAATAAAATGTATGAAATTCGGAACAACATATAAGAGGGTTATTATTGGCATTAAATAAAGACTAAAGAATAGTAATTAACAAATTAATGAAAAACCATCCAATAAAAAATCTCTAATTCAATTACAATAAATGAAGTCTAACTTAATTACTTGCGACAATTAAAAAGAAACAGAGGTAGAAAAAAAATTGACTTGTATAATTAATTTTTGGAGACTTAAATTTTAATATATATTGACAAGAATGATTAGACATATTATTTGGAGATGATAAGTAACAACATGAAAGACAGGTAAACAAGAAGCAGGAAGACAATCTGCGAAATGATGATGTGTGGTAACAATTATGTTTCAAAACTGTTGGTTTATTTTGTTCTCAAGGATGTTGGTGAAGGAGCTTACATCATTTGCTATATTTTCAGCATCTGCAGCAGCCCCATAGAAACCTCTCCTCGATAACCCAACACAGTACAGACCATTATTTCCCTTCCAATGGATCGGGTAACTCGGCTTCGGAAGACCATCATCATTCAAAAGGTAATCATCACCCTACCACAAACGTACATACATCATTAATAATATATATACTCTTCCTAATATCATTATAATCACGATAATTAATTAAGAAATTAAAAATTAAAAAGTTTTATTAAAAAATGTATCTACAGTTCTATTTGTATAATTTTATTATAGTTTTCAATCATATTGATTCCTTAATCTCTTCTAAGTGCGTTGGTAAGACCCTTATAATTATAATAACAGTCGCACTCTTAAGCCTAGATTATATAATATGTGACAATTGAATTAACCATTTTATTGAAATTGATTCTTTTAGCTACAAACCTTAAGCCACTTGTTGGTTGATCTCTTGAAGCCGGTGCAGAAAACAATGGAGTCAAATGGGTGCAACTCACCATTCTTGAATAGGACATCCTTGCCTCTCACGCTTTCTATTTCAGCTGGCAAAACCTACGTAACACACAATACATGCTGCTTCGTCACGTACAACAATCATTAAGCTTGTTTCTTCGACTTTGCCGGGATAAAAGTAGGTAAACAACGTGTCAAGTTATCCTTATATATATATTCCTCATATGAATCTTAAAGCGAGTGACTGATTTATTATTCTACCCAGAAAATGAAACAGTTAACCTAACTAAAGTGTATAAGAATGTATTTGATGTGCATTCAAGAACAATAAACAATATATAACAAACTTTAATTAATTTTTTTAATATAATAAATGTATTTTATTATACTTTGTTTTTAAGAAAAAAAGGTTAAGGAAGCGGGAGGTTAAAAAATTATTATAATATATCCACACACGACACGTACAAAGTCTTAAAAAATTATTAAATGTTCCTATTTTAAAAAATATAAAAAATAGAAATACTAGTTAACTATTTAAAAAAAAGAAATTAAAAAAAGGTTCCAAAGCATGCAGGTATTTGGCAATTTTTAGCTTTAATTGAAGCTTGAAGTTGAAACAGCAATGTCACACCACACCTACCGAAACCTATCTTTTAAAAAGTACCTTCAATTCACCAGACTTGATTTTTTTATAGGTTCCCACGTCAATAACTGGATACTTTCCATACTTGACCTTCATATAAAAGGGACCCTCTTTTGGCCTTGCAACCCCGAATTTGGTCACATCCCCGTAAACTATGGTGCTAAGTATCACCATCAACGAGTCCACCATGCTCAACGACAAATACTTCAACAGAAACAACCCCAAACTCACCATCTCCCTTGACAGAAAATGAACCTGCCATATTCCATCATTGCATTATTGCAATATATGCACTGTGTTAGTATGCGTAACAAGCAATCCACAACTCGTTTCAGTCAACCAAAGGTTTAAACAAATCCGTAATCACAATTATAAATATCTTTACTTTTTCACATCGATTCATAACCAATAGAACAAAAAAGTCAAATTAAGAAGTCTTCTGAAGTACAGTTCATATCATTAACTCGTGAAAATGGCCTGTGACTTTCTTAACAAGAAAGTTATTATAAATTTTGTTACAACTATTTTTTTAACCAATAATTAAATAAAACAAATTAATGAGAATATATATATATATATACTCATGTAATCCTACAATAAACTCGCAAGATATTACATAGTCTTAGAACATTACCATATGTGTTTATAATCCTAACTAATTATCATGTAATTAATGTATAAACTTTTAATTTATATAAAAAAAAAATTAATAACACTTCATTGCTCTATATCATATGAAGAACGACCCAAATTATAATAACCTGAATCACATACCAATTCTTCTTTACTAAATAAGTGGTTATAAAAATAAAGTGGTGAATATATGTTAGACTAATAAAAAAATATTATAATGACGAAAACAAACATCAAGCTTAAATTTTGATGTATTTATAATCTCAATTTTTTAATATATAAAATATTTCTTTGCTGTTAAAAAAAAAATCTCAATTTTTTACTACTAAATTTATAACCTTAATGACTTGTGTGATAGTAAGTATTTTTTTGGTTCGGTATAAAAAATCATAAGGATATTCGAACATAAATCTTTATGTTTCTACTTCAATTTTTTATTACTAAGTGGATGGTAATTGTTTATGCAGTATTATAAGCGAGCATAAAGAAAATAAGGGGTTTATGAGTTAAAATGAGTTTTTAAAGAAACTAGTATGAATATAATATTTACCGGGCTTCGAACAAGAATGGAGGTTTTGGCACCATGATTGACAAGGTCCAAGGCGATTTCCATGCCAGAATTCCCCGACCCCACAACGAGAACATGTTCACCTTTGAACTCTTTCCAAGAAGTGAATCCGGTGGAATGAAGAAGCTTCCCAGGGAAGGTACTCAAGCCTTCCAGCTCCGGCAGAAAAGGGTCGGTGGTTTCTCCGGTGGCGACCACTAAAAACCTCCCAGAATAGTCGTCGACCTGGGCGGAGTCTCCATTGAGGGCCTTGACCCTCCACTCTTGATCCCCTTGATGGTACTCGGCGAGCTGCACCGTTCTGCGGTAGAGAGGTGCGATTCGGAAGTGGGAGACGTAGTCGTCGAGGTAGTGGAGGAAGTGGTTCTTGGGGACGTAGGGAGGGTAAGAGGGTGGAAAGGGTTTGTGGGGAAGCTGGCAGTATTGCTTTCTGAGGTGAAGGTGGAGACGATCGTACGAGTATTTCTTCCACAGAGAAGCGAAACAGTCTTCTCTTTCCAGGATTATGTACGGAATGGAATGCTTCGTCAAGCATGCAGCGGCGGAGAGCCCAGAAGGGCCTGCTCCCACGATTATCACTCTCTGTCTCCGCTGCTTCTCTTCCTCATCTTCCATTCTCGTTGCAGCGTTTTCTGGATCCATCTCTTCTTGTTACAATCACAGACAAGGGAAATATGAAAGGGAAACTTAAGCTCAACTAAAGCTATTATATATATCATGCTAATGCTAGCTATTTCTATCTAAATCATTTATTACTTACGCTAGATATTTATTAATAAATCAATTAATTATATCGACTATATTTTATTCAAATTTATTTTTTTAATTATTATTGTTCGTCGTAAGATAAACTTTAAAATTACCGATTTTAAAAACACACACTAAAATATAAAGTACTAATGCAATATTTATATAGATATGTAAATACTTTTTATTCTATATTTTTTAATTATTATTGTTCGCCGAACAGCATCCAACTCGGCTGACAATTCTCGATTTTTCTACTTTATTTGTTTTTATTTGCTTGTGCCCATCTTGTGTTGGAATTCAACTTTTATTTATAAGTTTGGAAGCGAGAAGGATTGAACTCTTAACCACATGGTTTAAGAGGTTGGATAACATGTCAAGGTCCTACTCTTCTAAAACCTTAAGCTGTTGGATGAAGGCTGATGAATGGTTTTATATTTGGAAATGTTAATTGGACAAAACAGAAAAAGCATGGTACGCTTTTCTTGTGAATATTACTAGTACTAATTCTTGTGATTCTCTTTCTGCAGTGGTTGTTTTATTGCTGCCAGTGCATACGAAGATCGGCTGGCTTTGTTTTCTATGTCAATGTCCAGTGGTGATATCATTGATGAGGTCCAAAATTACTATACCATCCTGCTTTTTAGAAATGCTTAATGTTTGTGTTAGCAAAATGCATGTATGAATATGATAGAGGATTGTTTTTTTTGGTGGTATAGGCTATATATGGTATCCAACTAGACATACATTTGAAGGATCTAACGTGTTGGTTTCCTTTATTACCCTTTAATTTCATGATGTTCTTACTTTTAACAGTATATATTATTCTCATATGTGTATTTGCTAATTTGTCTACTTTTGATAAATTGATTCTTTTGTCTGGAGAAATATGCTTATATGATCTTTTTCACTCAACTCCAGAGAATTGTATATCCTTCTGAAAGTGAAGGAACAACAAATACTTCCAGAAGCATTCAGAGAACCAGCATACGTGGTACTATTTGGAGCATCTGCTTCATTTCACAAGATTCCAAACAAGAAAGAAAGGAGCATAATCCTGTACTAGCTGTTATTATAAATAGGTATAGTGATACATAAGTTTCCATCTATCAGGTGTTTATTCTAAGTCTTGAAGGCAGCTCTATAATGAAATTTAGCTTCTATTTCTGCTGTCTTTTTGTGAATATGATTACTTACTGAAACCATGCATTTTTTTGCCCTACAGGAGGGGAGCAGTTCTAAATGAATTATTATTATTGGAGTGGAATGTTAAAGCACGTAAAATCTTTGTTATTTCTCAGTATGTTGAAGCTGGACCTCTAGCATATGACATTGTTGAAGTTCCTAACTCTGGGGGACTTGCATTTCTATTCAGAGCTGGTGATGTACTCTTAATGGATCTTAGAGATCATCGCAACCCATCCTGTGTCTGCAAGACTAACTTGAACTTTTTACCCAATGCTATGGAAGAACAGCCTTATGTGGAAGACTCTTGTAAACTACACGATGTTGATGATGAACGCTTTAGTGTTGCTGCCTGTGCTTTGTTGGAGCTGAGTGATTATGATCCTATGTGCATAGACAGTGACAATGGTGGTGCTAATTCGGGTTATAAATATGTATGCTCGTGGAGTTGGGAACCTGAAAGTAATAAAGATCCCAGGATGATCTTCTGTGTAGATACTGGGGAATTTTTTATGATGGAAGTTCTTTTTGATTCCGAAGGCCCTAGAGTTAATCTGTCCGAGTGTCTCTATAAAGGTCTACCTTGTAAAGCACTTTTGTGGGTTGAAGGTGGATATCTAGCTGCTCTTGTGGAAATGGGGGATGGTGTGGTCCTGAAATTGGAAGATGGAAGACTATGCTATACAAATCCTATTCAAAACATTGCACCCATCTTGGATATGGTAGTCGTGGATTATCATGATGAGAAACATGATCAAATGTTTGCTTGTTGTGGTGTGGCACACTCGGATGCAGACGATCGAGAGCTGCTGACCGAAGAGCTCGATGAAGTATTAGACATGACGATAAAAACTTACCAATTTCTTCTCAAAACCACAATCGTTCTTCGGATCGGCTTCTCAAACCTTCGGCTACCACAATTCGGATGAGAGCAATACGTGTGAATGGCTCTACCACTCAACCTATTTATAAGCTCAAAAAGAGGCGGGAAAATTCAAGATTTAAGAGAAGATGTAACCGTTCGATCTCCGAGATCTAACGGTTACAATTACGCAACCGTTCACTTTACCCTGGCAACCGTCCTCGTTTTACCCTTGAAGAAAGCCTCACCTTCCTTCAAGGCTGGGGGGCAGTGTACGGGTAGGGGCGTTCGGCCACCTCTGGTCGGCCGCCGAATGGCAGTACTTGGTGGCCGAACGGCAATCGGCCACCAGGACCGAACTATCATTACTCATTGCTCTTAACCCATGATTAGGGGTTAATCAGATGATTAAGGTGTATTACCTGATACGGTAAATACGTTGCAGGGCCCATGGGGTCCAGGGCCCATAAATGTCAGTATAAATAGCTCAGGTCAAAAGGTAACGTCACTGTTCATTAATTATCCTAGATATCTGTGCTTGTCCTGACTTGAGCGTTGGAGTGCCTTTTACAGGTACCAACCCCTCTATTCACATCGGATTGGAGCACTCGTTCGGCCTTCAGACTACGAGAAGATCATTGGTGTACCCCCTTTGTAGGTACAATAACATTAATTATTTGCATCTATAATAAAAGGATTAAACTTTTTCGTGTATAATTTTTTTTCTTCTAATTTTATATATATAATTGTCTTTTTTTATAAATTATAATTTATTATTTTGTTTTTAAATTTTTTTTTGTCCATATTATCAATCAACCATTCATTATTATGCAATTTTTTATTTTTCATAATTTAAGGTGTCTTCAACATATCTATGTTAATATGCAAGAATACATTTTATCATGGATTCATTGATCCTATTGTCATCTAGTGTATTGAGAATAAAGACACAGATTAGGTAAATATAATTTTTTTAAGCTTAAAGTAACTTACAAGTGTTTAACACGGTTAAAAAATGTGAGACTTATTGATAGTTATTTGTTATAATCTGAGACAATTTCTTGTGGTTCTCTTGTGTTTATTATACAAGAAAACTATTGTTAAGTTGTCTTTTAGACACTTTATTTACTCATAAGTATCTAATTTGAATATATATTCTTTTTTATATAATTTAATTATGATAGTTTTATTCTTTAATTATTTTTGGTTTCTCATTCTTTGTTATAGGTCTTAGATGCAAGTTTGACGTTGAGACTTCTTTCAAGTAACTCTTAAGAAGTTTCAATATATTGTTCGAAGAGTAAGTCAAATGTCATTTTAATACTTAATTACAAGTTCAAATATATTATAATTATATATATTTAAATTACAAAGTCCACATCAATCAAGATAATTTTGAGGATGGTTATTACATTATGAAATATATGTTCACCGTTATCACTAAGAACATTATGACTTATGAAGGGAAATAATACATATATAAACCAATTTGCTTACTTTATTAATTGACTTTTTTATTGTTTAATCATCAACTAATATTTAACTTATCTCTACTTTGAAATTGTAGATATTCAAAAATACAATTCCATTAACTAATGAAGAGTTGTAAGAAATTCGGAATAGATGGACATCTAGCTGAGTAAGGTTTATGTGATGTATAGTTTTTTTTAACACTTTTTTTTATAGTTATTTAACATTATTAAAGTACTTATTTACTTTAGTTTAATGTATAATTATTTTTCTTTATTAATTTTGTATTTATAAAGTTTAAATTATTTGACATACATCATACATTATTAACAAATTTATTATAATATTTATGTTTGGATGTTACTTTATATATTATTATTGTTGTTTGAGTGTTATAATTTGAGAGATGTTGTAACCTACATAGTACTATATTGGACTAGACAACTATATATTATATTGAATTGTTTGAAAATTTATTATTTTTTATTTATAATTTTAGGGTTTTAAAAAATAACACATTTTATGGCAGATTTAGTCGTCATACCAATTATGAATGAGACTTTCTATATCGGGTGAAATCACACTCAACAAAAAAAATGAGTACCAATATGATATAAAAAAATATTATATTTAACATTCATATTATAACAGACATTAATCACTCACCATAAAAATATATATTTTATGTTGGGTATTGACACATTATAAAATATATAAACATTCTATGTCATTAAAATTTATAACGATCAAGAATCAATTGAAAACTTGAAAAGATTTAACATAAAAGTCTCTTGTACTAATTGATTCTGCATGTTATTAGGTAATTTTAAAGATAGAAAGTGATTAAATGCAGATGCATATTTAATTATAAATGTGTAAAATTTAATTACTTAATATGTATTTTATATTTTCATATTCTATATATATATATATTTCATGTTCAAATAAACCCCTCTACAATATCAATTATCAAGTTGAGCCCAAAGTTATATGATGCTATAGCTTTTCCTTGGTTCCGATCCTTGATAATCGAATTAATGAGTCTGAAATGGTTAGTGTGGGAGTTAATAATGTTAATTTAAGATACTCAAATAATTAGTTGTATTAAAAAATACACATGATCTGTGTACTCTAATTGTGTAAACAGAAAAAGCATTTCTCATAATTGAAATTTGAACGCTTTTAAGAGAGATAGGTAGTGTATGACTCCTTTTTTAAAGACTTCTCACCTTTTCAAAAGAAACGAAAAAGTTGGTTTCATTTAAAAAAAAAAAATCTTAAAAGATTAAGCACCTTAATTAATGTTCATAAAAGAAAATAAAGACTTTTATAAAACATATTAGGTGAGTTTTTTTTAAGAAAAAAATCTTTCTGTATTCTTGTGTAGATCTCTCTTATTTTTATCCTCATTCTTCTAAACTAAAGAACTGTAAAATATTTATTTTTCTAATATTTTTTTAGATTTAAATTTAAAAGGCCTTTTAAGCTAAAGATCTAACACACACTTAACTTATAAAGCATCATAATCATCCGGTCTATCATTGTTATGTATCGTTGCTATCGTTATTTTTTCCCCTTGTTGTATTCCTCATATATTTCAATTAAAAAAGATTAAAAAAATGAATTCTTTTTCCTCATAATTTTGTTGGTAATGTTCGTGAGAAATGCTTTTTTTTTTTAATGTAATTTAGAAATACGTGTGTTTAAACACGTATTTCTATACTAACTAATAATACATATATATAATTTGACAATTGACGTAGAAAAGAGATGTGAAGGATTAGAATTTAGAAGAGTTATCAATTGAGCATGTCTATTCTTCTTAATCAAGTTGTCTTCGAAGTAAAGAAGAAATAAATGCGATAAACACGTTTGCTTTTGGGAAACGTAAGTTGTGCCTTTGAATTTTTGGGGCAACATTTTGACATTTAGGTTTTGCTATGCATGGTTAATGGTTTAGAGTTCTCAAAAGTGTTGCGCTTCATATTCTCACGTAGCTTTTCCAACTTGAAAATGAGATAAAGCAAACAATTGAAAGTCAGGCCCAATTCGGTTGAAAAATGTAAATTGCATCTGATAGGGATATAAAGGTCGGATAGATCAGCTATACTATTATAATATCATAGTTTTTTTTATTTTTCTGTCACAATTGTTATCTTTTGGTTAAAGAAAATAAAAAAAGATAATCACGATTTCCATCATAAATCGTCAACAGTGATAAAAAAAAAAAAAAAAAACACAAAACAGAGTGTAAACACAAATGAATACTACTATCTCTGCCACTTTTTAAATTTTTTATATCAAACAAATAGAAATGTAATAAATGTTTATGTTTTTGTCATAAAGTAGTTTGAAGTTTTTATTATACTTTTCTTTATTTTTAATCCGCAGTAAAAACATATTAATTATAATTTATAAATGTGTAAATTAATTAAAAATCAGCCAAAAATAAGAAATAATTTAGAAATCCTAAATTCTAAACTTGAATTATGTTGGTTTTTCTTCCCATTTTATTTATTTACTTAGAAGGAAGTAAATGTACTTTCCTTTTTGCATGCATGATAGCAATACAAACAAAAAAAAAAAAGTTGATCATTTACTCTTCGCCTTTCTGTTTTGTCTTAGTTTATACATTTAATTGCATTCAATTGATGCAGTGATCATGGAAGAAAATTTTGTATTTGACAGACATGCATGGTCACAACCTACGCATAGACACGTGGCGTGAATTATATTTACGTGCCACAAACTATACTCCCCTAGCCCTATCACATGAATGCTTTGTGTTAACTTTGAAAAGGTTTTTAATTCATTTTTTTTCTTCATAACATGTATCTCTCAACTTATTGGATAGAGACTAATCATATTTGTCAAAGAGACTAATTATTTTTGCAATATTGTAATTATTGTTGTTTCAACAAATTTTCCTCTAGAACCAAACATAAATTTTTTTGTTATATAATTCATTTTCATCACAATATATACATGCAAGATATATACTTAACCATTACGTCAATCTAACAATTTTTTTTGAAAAGAATTTTTAGTTTATGAGAGGAAAGGCTGTTTTTTGAGTGGTTGAGATCTTGTTGAATTGATTAATTCTTGGCGGGACAACACGTTGGATACCTAGAAAAGTTGCAATGAAAGCAATTGTCCCCTACTGAGCATGCTAACTCAAAGGAACCCGATATCTTGGTTGTTGTCCTCTGATCAAAAGCTAAAAAGTGAAGCAATCTCGATATGATGTTGTTTGCATTGCATGTGAAGGTTTCTATGTTGCTGTTAACTCTCTGAGGATTGGACTGTCACGCATGCTGGAGTTTGAAGCCCCAATATTGTCCAACCTATGGACTAATTGAGTCTGTGTAAAGATGTCTCCCTTTGATAAATAGAAATCATCACAAACTCAAAGCCTAGCTTCTTCTTCAAAACATTCTTAGCAGTTTTTGTGACTTGAAAACACTTGCAAATTAATCATTTTAAATCTAACGAATTAAGAATACCCCAAGTTGTAATCTTACACAGGGAGGAGAAGGCAAGAGAAAGAAAGGTTAAAACAAGAGTTAAAAAATACCTTTAATTAGAGATGAATTAATTAAGTAAAAATATATTAAAATATGAAAAATAATTATAAAACAATAATAAAAAAATAATTAAATAAATATCTAAATTTTCTGATATACTGTATATAAAAATCCAGATTATTAATACATTTAGTGAAGTGGTCGAGCTATATTTCCACCTCCTCAATTCATTGCTTTGAATGATAGTTGGGTTTGTGTTTTAGGTTGAAGTTAAGGGCGAGAAGTCAATTAATGAATGCAAATTAAACAACCACGTTGAACGTTGTCACTCATTCACCCTTCCAATGTTTCCGATTACGTGCATCAAAATTGACAATACTCTCTTCGTTACTAAATGATTTTTTTTTACTTCTCCTTTTATTTATAATTAATATGCTCTTAAAATATGTAATCAAATTAAAATATAAAATTTTAGAATAAGATTTGTATTCTCTTCATTCTTGATTACATAATTTGAAAGTGTATTACACACACTAATTTTTGTAATCTTTAAAATCATTTTTATATTGTTTAGAAATTTAATTATTATATGTACCACGTCGAAAATCAATAAAAAGTTAATTTAGAGGATATATGAACACTTAAAATTTTATGTGTAATTTTATCCATATTCAACATCGATATACCTGCGTTCAACATGGATAAGATAGAGAATCTCCGAAGCTTTCGTGTTTGACGTGGCAAAATCCAAACCCAACCTCACTTATAGAGAATTTTTACCTAACTCATGTTTGATACCACTCAACCTGCATCTGACGTCAGTTAGGTAGTGATCTACTAACTTGATCAAGTTGGACAACACACTTATGAGGCTCAACATCACCAAGTTAAAGAATTCTTGAGTTCCCACACTCAATGCCACTTATTAATTTGACACCCAACATGACTAAGTCAAAGGATTCCTTGCTAATCCACGCCTGATGCTACTAGGGATGGTAACGAGGCAGGTCAGGTACGAGTTTCATGATACCTGTCCCCGTCCCTACGACTCAAACTCATCCCCATCCTCATACCCATACCTATCAGGTATGAAATTTTCATCACATCCTCGCCCCTGTTAGATATCGGGTATACTCATACCCATACACGTATCTGTAAAAAATTAATTAATTTTTTTTTGTAAAAAAAATACATAATATTTTTAACTTATTTTTCTATTATATTACAATTATAATTAGATTATTTGTTTATCTCATATTTTAATCAATAAACTTCTTAGTAATTAAACAACTACAAATATTTCACATCATAACAAACAATCACACATAATTAAATATTATTTTTTTTTAAATAATCAAATCAGGGGTAGGTATTTAGTCAGGGATGGACACAAGGCGGGTAAGTATATACTTATACCCGGTTTAATATATTGGGTTTTACCCGTACTCGTATCCGGTCAAATCGGGTATTCTCCTTTAAAGTCGGGATGGATTCGGATATTATCCACGAGTAAAAAATTATTTGTCATTCTTAGACGCTACCAATCCTACATCCAACGTAATCAAGGGAGAAAGTCCAGTAACTTGAGTCACACCCAACACAATGAAGGTGCACTCGATGCGATGCTCATTTTTGCACATAGTCGAACCATCGAATGCCTCAAAACCTACAAGCCACCAGCCAAGACAACATGCAAATTAACCAACATACAACATATATGCACCATGAACAACACAAAAACCAACTCAAAACAACACATGCAAACATCCAAAAATAGAATCACTTAAGAACACCTTCAAGAGCACTTCTCCAACTACACTTAGATTCATAACTCTCACCACTCTAACCATGCAATAATGAATCTAGGCAGCAAAAACAACAATTATACAACACCACAATTCAACTCACAAAGCTTACCTCAACTCTAAGCACAAGAGAAGAAGGAGGAAAAGGAAGAACTCCAAATCGCCATACAACTTCCACTAGCTAAGATTCTCAGTTATGACCTTGAATCTTCAACTTAGTCACTTTAGATTAGCTTTGGAAGAGAGTAAGATGAAAAATTTTAGTAGAAAAAGAGAAAAAAAAAAGATTTAGTTTCCAAAAAGTTTCTCTCTAACTTCTCTTTAATTTTTCTTAAAATATAAATTTATGAGGCTGATCACATCTTTAAAAAAAAAAACTTTATATAACCTTAATTAAGTTGAACTAAAATAATTTTGACCCAACTATCTCAGAGGCCAACTTATCTCTTAAGGTCCCCTTGACCACTAGAGTTATAACAACTAATAACTAAACAAGACAAATCTTACAATTAATCATATAATTAAATCAATACCTCAAAATCAATAATATTACAAATTTTCTTATATTTCTCTTTTACAAAAATAGTCTTTATTTTTATTTTATTTCTTGCTTAATTCTCTACACTTTCATTCTTTCTTCTATATTAATTAAATACAATGTGATATTTGATATTTTCAGTCAAAATAATGAGTCGCTCTTTCCTAAATTGACCCCTCTATACTTGGACATGTAATATTAAATAATTTATACATTTAAGTTTATTCTCCTATCAAGAATGGAGTCCAAAATCTCTCTCTTCAACTCAATAAGCCTCTCAATAATTGAGTTTGAAAGATGGATAATTAGAGATTTGGAGATCTCATCATTATCTCACTTTAAATAGACTATAAAATTAAAGATGAATGAATTATTAAACTAATTCATACAATTATTTTTAAAAAATCATAATAGTCAGTTTTTTTTCCCTAGTAGCAGTATTTTTTTTTTGTTTTGAAATAGATGATTTTCTTTAAAAAAAAATTGATAAGTCGTGTTTCACAAATATGATATTTACTTTTTGTTGTCGTTTTTTGTTAAAAAGGAAGTTGTGATTCCGTATACAACTTTTATTATTATTTTCTATTTAAAAATGACAAAGTTGTGAAGTCAGAATACGACTTGTTTTTTGTTTTTTTTTCATTAAAATAATATTTTTTACGATATTTTTAACGAAAAAGTCATATTTTAGAACACAACTTCTATTTTTTTTTATTTAAAGTATAAATCATCTATGAGAAGCACTTTGTTTCACAAACATGACTTATTCTATTTTAATTTTTTTTAAAGTTACATATTTTGAAGAAGAAAAAATCAAATGGATAAAAAAGCATAATTAATCTCTAACTTTTAAAATCTTTATTTAATTTTTAACCTTGTAAAAGATCATTTATTATTATTGAGACTTTAATAAATGATTTTTAATCAAATCCAAAATTAAATAAGATTTTTAAAAAGGCAAAGACTAAAATAGCTTATAGTCTCGTAAAGGTTTTATTGTTTGAGGATATAGCAAAGGCAAGTGAGTTGACGCAGAAATTAAGATTTAGGGACTTAATACACTGTTTCTATTTTATTTTTTTTGGTGCGTATGTAAATTTCAATTAATGAATCTCGAGATTAAAGATGAATAAATGATAGGAAGAAATCATAAACCAGCAATGACTAGTTACTATATAGTTAGTTTAGTTTAGAGGCCCAGTGTACCAATGTTATTTGTATAATAAGGAGATAAAAAAGAAAATGGAATGGTATAGACATTAAAAAAAATGTACTATTATGATACACATTGTTGAATGGGTTGTTGCAATGTCTATTGTAATGTAAAAGGCAGCATATATATGGCATAGCACGTTTATAGTGTTTGTTTTCTGCAACCAAGTTTATAATGAAGCCGAACATGATAGATCAAATCTTGAATTTTACATGACACCAACTCCTTCTCTTTCTTCTTGAGGAATTAACGAGACAATGTCATTTGCAACGTTTTGGGCATCCATGTTGGCTCCAAAGAAACCCCTTCTTGACAATCCAACGCAATACAAACCGTTTTGACCCTTCCAATGATTCGGGTAACTAGGCTTTGGAAAACCATCCTCATTCAGAAGATCATCACCCCCCTGTTCACAACAAATTCATTTTCTCACGACATTCTATATAAACTTTCATGCATTATAGTTATCCACAAGTATGAGCATAGGTTAATTTAAATGGAATATAACACTATACATGCAGTATCAATATGATACATACCTTAAGCCACTTTTGAGTTGCCCTCTTGAAGCCTGTGCAGAAAACAATTGAGTCAAACGTGTGCGATTTGCCATCCCGGAACAGAACTTCGTTACCTCTTATACACTCAATTTCCGCTGGCAACACCTACATAGCATAATAGAATGCAACTCACTCTCTGTCTGTCACATTCATTATATCCTCTATATCTTTTTCCATCATCAATTCAAAGATATATAGCCTTTAATTCAATGGTTGCGTTTTGGACTCTCTTAACTCAACCCTCCTTCCCACGGATCCAATTTGTCCTATTTTCTAATCTCAGGGTTAAGCAATAATGCATGTTTCTGTCAATTGTTAGGCTCGTGTCCTATTCAGATATCTAGCTAAATGCCTTGTTTTCCTTTCCTTCCTTGTTCTTTCTTTTATGTGTTGCCATGGTCACACCAATACCATCATTTACACCATTTTTAACCTAAAATTGAAATTAATTTATTCTAACCATGGTCATTGATGTAAAAAAATTTCCTCCGCCAAAGAAAAGAAAAAATGAAATTACTATGTCCTTGGGCGTACCTGTATCTCACCAGATTTGATTTTCTTGACAGTTCCCAAATCAATGATGGGGAACTTACCATACTTCATCTTCATAGTAAAAGGCCCTTCCGTGGGAAAAGGTATCCCATAGTCACTCAGATCCCCATACACAATCCTGCTAACAAACACCAACAGTTTCTCCACCGTACTTAGCGACAGATACTTGAGCATAAGCGACGCATAATACATCATATCCCTCGACAGAAAATGAACCTACATGTACACATAACCATAATAACATAATTAAACATCCCAACATAAAAAAATAATAATTTATATACTATATTTAAGTATTACAAAAGATAAACTTTATAAACTAGAAAGAATTAAAATAAAATATTTTTAATGATAATAAATTATTAAACCTCGTAGGAAAGAATAAAGAAAAAAAGTACCGGGCTGCGAACAATGATGGAAGGTTTGGCACCAAAATTGGCCAAATCTAGTGCAATCTCCATTCCAGAATTTCCAGATCCAACAACGAGAACATGTTGATCCCTAAACTCCTTCCCGTTCTTGTACCCCGTCGAATGAATCACTTTCCCATTGAAACTCGCCAAGCCTTCAACCGGCGGCACATTGGGCTCCGCCGTTTCGCCGCTGGCCACCACCAAGAACCTCGCGGCGTACTCCTCCATCTCGCCGGAGCATCGGTTCTTGGCCCTGACCCTCCATCTCCCCCTGCTGTGGTACTCCGCGAGCTCCACCGAGCGCTGGTAGAGAGGGTTGATATCGAAGTGGTGGACGTAGTTTCCCAAGTAGTCGATGAAGTGCTTCCGAGGCACGTAGTGAGGGTAAGTGGTGGGAAAGGGAAGGTGCGGTAGCTGGCACACTTGCTTCCTCAAGTGGAGGTGCAGCCTATCGTAGGTGTACTTCTGCCACAGAGAAGCGAAACAATCTTCTCTCTCGAGGAGTATGTAAGGTATTGATTGCTTCGTTAAGCATGCTGCGGTGGCTATGCCCGATGTTCCACCTCCCACTATTATCACCGCTGATTCCCTCATCCTCGCTTTTCTCTCTCTCTCCCACATTTTAGTTCCCACTTCTAAACACTTAGTACTAATAATAAATGCTTTTTTTTTTATAGATAATTATATCTCTCAAATATTAAAAACTATTATTTTTTTCATATTTTTTGGGTTAATATTACTTTTATATATGATATACGTCAAAAAAACTCAATCTAATGATAGATTTTTTTTAACAGAAAAATTATTCTGCAAATAACATTATTTCAAAATAATTAGTCTTTCAAGATGAAAAAGTGAGCAACTGGGTTTGTGGTTGAAGGTTTGCCACGGGGAATGACAAGAAAAATTGCAAATTGATTAAGTAGTGACTTGTAAAACGGTGTCATGTGTAGAGCTGTTTTTTTTAAGATGCTACAAGACATGTCTGCACTGTGTCGTGTCCTTACTGGTATTGTTCTACATTTTTTTTAATGACTCACTTTTTAAAATAAATTATGTAAATAAAATTATTTTAAAACTATTTATGCTTTTAAAATATTTTTTTTTAGGTGTTGTTATGAGGTGACACACACAAAAAAAAATTTAATTTATATTATTTTGGTTGAAAACCTCTTTTGGTCTCTTATAATATTTTTTTGTTTCAATTTAGTCACACTTTAATTTTAGATCTCAATTTGGTTCCCAATAATTTAAATCATTGCAATTTGAGACTTCCGTCTAAATGATTTAAACGGAGTTAACTGATGGCCACGTGGATGCCTGGTGGATGCTACATAGGTAGATTCCAAAATACTTGAATACACTTGGAACCAGAACGGTCTATTCTGGTTACATATTGGTGTGTAAATGTTGTACCTGAAACGGGCCGTTCCAGATGCAAAATTAACATACCAACAGTGTAACCAGAACGGGTCGTTCTGGTTTCAGAACGGGTCGTTTTAGTTCCAGAATTTGTGCGAAAAAAACTAAAGTACAAAACATTTCACACACTAGATTTGGTAATATTGTTAATGGGGATTGATAACTTCAATTGCTAAATATTTAGGCTATACAGTGTATCATTAAGGACGATTCAGTGTATCACTGAGGATAATGATAACAACTTTTATTTCATTGTTAGTCAAACTGGAGTGAACCACTTACTACCAAATTGACACTATACAGTCAAGGATGAAACGAAACGGTGTTTCCCCTTAAAGTCATTGACGATGTACTCCAACAATAACAACCTATTTTTGAGGAGGTACAACCTGAATTTTTGTGGTTTAGGGTTTCCCTTCAGCGTTACCCAGATGATTTCCTTTCTCAATAATTTCTTTGAACTTTTTTAGTATATGTTATGTTCTGAATTTTTATTTCCAGTTTCTGAACCATATTTCTGTCTTTGAATTTATGATATATTATGAATTTTTATTTTCAATTTTTAAATCACATTGCGGCATTTTAGTCAAAATTTTGAACTAGATAAATTCAAATCAAAGAAGAATTTTGGAAGGTCTTATCTTATTTGATTCTTTTTCTTTTTTTTATAGTTTTATTCATAAATGAATATTAATTTATTGTATTTTTTATTTATTATATTTTTATTAATATAGATATAATAAAAAAAATACAATAAAAAGCATGAGTTGACGTTCTAGAACGGGCCGTTCTGAATTCAGAACGACCCATTCTAGATTCAGAAAGGTCCAATCTGGATTCAGAACGGCCTGTTCTGCTGCACTCATGTTGTGTTAAATTTGCATTTGGAACGGTCCGTTTCAGTTGCAAACTTAACACATAACATGTGCATGCAGAACGAGCCGTTCTAGTTCCAGGTGTATTTGACATTTGGCATCCACCTGTGCATCTACGTGGCATCCACCTGACATCCACGTCAGCAGGAGTTAACCCGTTTAAATCATTTGGACGAAAGTCCCAAATTGCAATAATTTAAATTATTGGGGACCAAATTGAGACCTAAAATTAAAGTGGGACTAAATTGAAATAAAAAAATATTATCAGGGACCAAAAGAGATTTTTAACCTATTATTTTTCATAATTATTATGTCATAAGTCATATGTAAGAGTATAAGCAAGTATGAATAATTCAAAAATCTAAATTGACTAAAATGGATCCAAAAAATTTAAATCAATCTTTTTAGTATTTGGATCAAATTCAATACAATTCAATCAAAATTCGATATTATACGAGTTGATACTTGGCTTTGTATTTTTTACCCATGAGTCAATTCGCCTCAATCATATATAATAATAAATAACAATAATAATAGTAAATAATAATAATAATAGTAGTAATAATAATAATTAGTTAATATTTAGGTAATCACTTACTCACAACAATATTCTCTGTTGTATTTGCTCAATAATAAATTTTTTATTTTTTTATTAATAACATTGTAATAATATAATATATCTATTTATTTTTATCTTGTATTAATATTAGTTGTCTGAGTACATAACAATATAGAATAAATTTATTTTGAGATTTAATTTCTATCATTATTTATTTTATGGATTGACAATATTGCATTTGCAACAATATAATGTACATCTATTATAAAATATTTAAATTTTTACAATAAACATGAAATATGTTTACTTGTTGGGTTGAGTTAGATTAAAATATTTTATTAATTTTGACATTGTATTTTTAGATCAAATAGTATAGGATTTTATTGTGTTATAATTAATATTTTTTAGGGTGTAATTAGTATTTTAGGATGGGTGTAATTAGGAAAGGAATTTTGGACATATTGGTCTTGAATGACCTTTGAGAGCACTTCTTATGCATAACCTTTGAAGTTGACATCCACTTGTGTGGTAAACATGTGGTGGACATCCACTCCAAAGGAAACCAAATAGTCAGATATTGTTAACATTAAAGGAGATAACAATGTTTCATGATTCATTCAATAAATCATATGGCCTTATCTAGTCATGCTTTTGGCATTTTGCCTTGTAACAAACTCCCATTAATCTTTTGATCTTAGGATAACGACATTTTTAAGGGAAAAATTAAAATTTAAAATTTAACTATAATTAATTGTCTTTAGTACAAGTTAACCTAAAATTGATTACACTTAACCAAAGTTAGCCAAAATTGCACCATAGGTTATCATATTCTATATATATATATAATTTTTCTATCCCAAATGTCTTAATTCTCTTTTATGGATAAATTATCTTCTTATGAACTTTCATAAAAAAATTCATCTTTATGACAAGTTTTTCGCCATTTTTACTTATCTTCCTTAAAGAGGTATGCCTCCTTTCCATTTTTCTCCACCATATGAGAATTTCTTCTAGGCTTTGAAATCTATGGAAGAATATAGGAGTACATAGAAATTAGTTGAAGAGACACATTTATCATCTTTAAACTAGTTTCATCATTTATTAAATAAATATTGCATTTGTTTTTATTTTTTAAATAAACTATTTTTATTTATCAACTTTTAAAAATAAATGAAAAGCAAAACTAAAAAAAGAAAAAAGAAAAAAATAGGAGGCCATTATATAGTCACTAAAAACCTTTTAAATAAATAATTAAGAAAAATTATTTATCTTTATAAATCTATAATATTTTAAAAAATGAAAGTAATTTATTTTTAAAAAATTGTTATATATACATATTTTTATTTTTTTAAGTTTATGTAATATTTAGAAAAATGAAGTGATTTATTTTAAAATAAATTAGTAAATTTATTAAACAAATCTTACATATTTTTTAAAAATAAATTATGTACATCTATCAGTTTTTTAAAAAAAAACCTAAGAAATACATAAATAAATATTTTAAAAAAAGTATGAAGGTTGTTATAGTTACGACTTAAAAAAAAATAATTAAAAAAATCTCAAAGTAATGATAAAAAAAAAGTTTCTATAAGTGTATAATATTTTTAAAATTGATTTATTTTCTTAAACGTGTGATATTGAAAAAAGAATGAAAATAATTCTTTTTTTTTTAAACTGTTAAATTTATTTACTTAGTTAAGTCTATTTTATATGTGTAATATTTTAAAAAAATAAAAGTGATTTATTTTTTTTAAAAGAAAGTTATATTTGTTAAACAAATATTACACACACACACATAATATATATATATATATATATA